GGAGCTGAGATAGGTGTGAGCTTCCGTGGGTCCCGGGGACCCACTGTAGCCTCCGGGCCGTGGCGAGCCGCTTTGGGCGAGCAGGACAACCCCTATCTCCTATCTCCCGTGCCAGGACATCTCCGTGTCCCACAGGACTTCCCACTTGGCTAAGAGAAAAAGAAAACGCTTATGTTCTGAAGCGCCAGACTTTTGTGACCCTTTTATCTGAACTTCCGTCCCTAGAAAGCAACGCCCGGACCCCGTCATTCACTCAGAGGAGGTCACGGTTAAGAGCCAGGCACAGTTTAGTTTTCGCGCTCCTTGGACACGGTCAGGGTTTGGGTGCCAGGGAGAGAGCTCGAGATGCTCTCCACCTCTCCTTTCGCTCTTTTCTCTGATCCAGCCACACCGCCCGCCCCTTCCTGCCCCTGGCCCCACACAGCCGCAGTCCAAACTCCTAACGTTTAAATCCATTTCTCTGGTGGTTCTTTTTTGTCCTCCATATTCCCACCTTTGTGCCGAACCCGACTCTTCCAGCCCAGATGGAAACCGCGATTGCTACGGCAGCAGAAAAAAGAAGTGACATCTGGGACTGGCAGCATCCCTGGGCCAGCTCTGCATGTGCTGGGAGTTCACTTTGGTGAGAGAGAACTGGCTCTCAAACCAGCCTCCAGCGCCTGTGCTGAGCGCCTAGTGGGGAACCTCCCCGCCTCGCACAGGTGGGCACTCAAAGTGTTTGCGGATGACCCTCTACTCTGCCAACTTTCCAGGAATAACACTGGAAAGCATTATAGGGAACCCCGTGCTCCCAGTGCCTAGGAAACTCTTGGTTTTTGTTGTTAACAGCTCTGGCTACATGGTTATTTCAAGGACTCTGCTTCTTCTTCTTTTTTTTTTTTTTTTAAGTGATAACTGTTCCTTCTTTAGGAAATAATGAAGTCTGAAGCAACAGTTCAAATTATGTGTGTGTGTAAGCATATATCCAAAGTTCACTCAGAAAAGAAAAAAACTGAAAATTAACTTTTAAAGCAACCAGCAAATAACAGATCTCTGTTTTTGGGGACCATTGCAATTAAAAGATGGCTGCTTTAAGCCATCTTAAGTGAACACAATAAAGAATTGTCTGCACAGACTTAGTTTTGGAATGATTCATTTCTGTCAGCAATTATAACTGCTTCCATTTGTGATACGAACATTAGGTAAAAGATTTGGGGCTGATTCAGCTCTTACCCTTCTCATTTAGGCAAGAATATTTAGCTTAATATTTGAAACCTACACTGGCATGAAACAGAGCACATTTTCTCTGTTGCATATAATTCTTTTCCATTAGGGCTCTCATTTTAAAAAAAATTAACACCATCTCCCACACCAGTTACTAGATAGGATCCCAAAGAAAAAATGAAATAAGAATACTGTATGCAACAAGATAATTGAACAAGAGTGGGGATCTGAAGGTCAAAAAGCTATCAAAATAGCAAGGGTCTAGATTCGAGCTCTATTATCTTTGGAGCTACTCAATAAATATTGGTGGCATGACATGCACTCATTCAACAAACATACAGAGCAAGTATGTTGTGCTATGCAGTGTTAGCTACAGAGGATTCAAAGATGAGCACTCATCCTAGTCCTTAAGATTCACAGGTGGAGGTGAGGCAGCACAAAGAGGCTCATGCCACAGTGGGGTCTTGTGGCAGAAATAGGAGAGCACTGAGGAGGGCAATACAATCCACCTTCACAGGGGTGGCAGTAAGGCTCCCTGCAGAAGGAAATAGGGTCTTATTTCATTCTTTTCAGCAAGAAAATAACACATGCTCTTTATAGCATATAAAAGGAAAACAAACTTTATAAACAAGTGAACATGCTCTTTTCTTTTTTTTATGAACATGCTATTTTCAATATTCCCCACCCCCAACCCCATACCAACCCCACTACACAGAGCTGGCTAATGTTACGAGTTTGGTATGAGCCATTCAATTTTTTCTTGTATATATATTTATACATACGTAAATCCCCTTTAAAAAATAAAGTACAATACACATTTGCGTATAATTTGCTATTTTTAAAAGCAGAGTGTGGTAACCAGCCTCCAAGATAATCCCCAAAGATCTCCTGCTTCCTGTTATTCACATCCTTGGTTAACCCCTTGCACACTGTACCAGGGTTGGTCTGTGTAACCAACAGAATATAGCAGACGTGATGGTGTCACTCCTGAGATTAGGTTCTAAAGAACTGAGGCATCCATCTTGGACTTTTTTTCCTCTTGTATCACTCATTCTGGGAGAAGCCAGATGCCATGTTGCAGGAACACTCAGCCTATGGGGGGGCCTGCTGATGACCATGTGAGTGACTCTGGAAGCTGCTCCTTTAGCCCCAGTTGAACTTCAGATGTCTGTAGACCCAGGTGACAGCTTATCTGCAATGTCATGAGAAAACCTTAGCCAGAACAACTCGGCTAAGCCACTACTGGATTCCCGACCAATAGAAACTGTAAGATAAAGAAATGTTTAAAGGGCTAAATTTTGGAATGATTTGTTACACAGAAATAGGTAACTATATACATATCAATAGAAATGTATTTTTCCACGTCAGGCCACGTAGTTCTACCTTATACTTGTAAATGACTGCTCTAAGGTATAACCTTTCTTCTGTAGACAGGTATCTAGCTTTTACCAAAGATGTAGTGAATATCTTTGGAAATTTGTACTTAAGTACTTCTGCAATTATTTGTAGGGGTAGAGTGGGGAATAAGGAGGAAGGGAGGGCAGCAGAGGCAGGGAATCCTAAAAATGGAACTGTTGGGTCAACTGGTAATTTATATATCACATTGCCTTGCAAACAAGTATATGACAGTACTTTTACTTTAACCACTATTGAATATTATCAATATTTTACATTTGCCAAACTGATAAAATGGGATTTTAATTTGCATTTCTTTGTCAGCAGTAAGAAAAAGTCTGAATATCGTTTTGAAGTGTATTAGACATTATCATTTCTACATCTGTGAATCATTTGTTGACAAAAGTGGACAAACTTCTTAGTGACTGTGAAGAGCGCTTTATCAATTCTACATAACCATTAGATATACCGCAACTATATCCTTCCAATATGTCTTCTGTCTTTAAGCTTTGCTAATGATGTATTGAATATTTTAATTTTTTGGAATATTTTGTATGTTGTCAATCTTTTTCTTTAGTCATTTCACATGACTTTCAAATAATGGCTAAGAATTTGCCAAGCCAAGAACAAGACAGTGCAAGCACATGGACTGCCTTGAGCAAAGAGAGAAATGCAAACCTGCATATTTACATGAGGAGTTTGTGAGCACGCTGGAGTAGCTGAAGCACAAAGTGTGTGACACTGTGGAGAGAAGCAATGCTGCAGAGGGGCAGGGGCTGGCCCTGAAGGACCTTAACTGTCTGCTTAGTGAGCTTGAACTTTTTCTTGTAGGCAATCCGGTAAGCAGAGAACAGTTTGACACTGAAATTTGGGCAATCAGATTGCCTTTTAGATCAGTTTCTGGCAGCTCTGTTGAAGAGGATGGCTCTGAGGGGACAGACCGAGAAACAGATCATCACTTAGGAAACTGCTTCAATCGCCTAGAGAAGAGCTAACGATGGCCTGGACTGGGGCAGTGGTGGTTGAATGGTGGGGAAGAGACAGAATGGAGAAGTATTTAGGGGGCTAAAGGGACAGGACTTAGTGACCTATTTGATGTGTCTTGAAGTGGAGAAGTGGGAAAAAGGGAAGGAACAAAGATGGTATTTAGGTCTTTAGCTTGAGCACCTAGGCGGACAGTGTTGGCAAAAGCAAAAGCAAGAAATGTGCAGGAAAAGCTGGTTCAGAGAGCAAGATGAGTTTGGTTGGAAGAACATGAGTGCAAAGATTGTGGGAGGCCCAGGTGGGGAAGGCAGGAGATACAGATTTGGAAGTACGCAGTACTATATGGAAGTAAAAAACATTTACGTAGATTATTTCATTCAAAAAGAGGCCTGTTAAGTAAGAAATGAATGAGTTCATTTTTGGAAGAGCCAAGTCATAGCTAAGTTATGCAGTTTAAAAATGCTGAAGCAGGGGACAGACCTTGGGAGAGTCATACCAGACCCAGGGTCAGCTTCTTAGCTTTTCAGTCTTGGAAACTCAACTTTGTCGGTTCTCTCAAGAATGATTAGGATCGAGTCACCAGAGGTCCATCTTTACTGCTTCTCCGTGGGCTGATTTCTGCTATTCTGGGGAAACAGAGGCCATGTGGCAGAACCATAGGTTTGGATCCAGTTATAGCAGATTTCAAATTCCAGCTCCACACTTCCTGGGTATTAGGACCCCCGAGAGCCATCATTTCCTTGTCTGGAAAACTGGCAGGGCTTCCTTGCAGGGATGTTATGAAGATGAAAAGGGGTAACATACAGAAAGCATCTCACGTAGTGCCCAGATCACAGAAATGCCCAGGACCCATGTTCCCCTTCCCTGCACTCACTGTGGTGCTGTGCTGTCACTCTGCAGGTGCAGGAGCAGCTGAGGGAGGCACACAGGGTGAAAGCTAAGAGCTCAGTAGCCAGAAAACAAATGCCTTTTCCCAGCCTTGAGGGAATGACTCTTGTCCTCTTAAAATTCAGAGGCTGCTTGGCTTGTGGACTACCAAGAATTCAAAAGTCTTGCCCATTCTCTTTTCAGAGAGAATCCAAGCTCCTTTCCTTCTAGTTTCCAATCTAGTTTTTCCAATCCCATCTCTAGGGAACCCACTGGGAATGTTCACTCACTCGTTTATATGGAGAGTCTCCAAGAACCTGAGTTAAGTATTATGAAGTTAGTATTCTAAACATCTCTCACATCCCCAATATAGAGGGGAAAAATAAATATTTAGAAAGATGTTAGTTTCTAAATCACAAATATTTGTCTCAAAAGATACACGGTAGATTATTTTAATAAAAGTCTCTTGTATAAGGAAAATAAGTAATTTCAATTAATTATAAGTATGATCTGGGTTAGGCATTTGTACAGGTCTATTATAAATTCTGCTGACACAGAGAACACCCACAGTGAACCTGCTTTTATTGAACTGCACTTGGTGTGATGCCATTAGTTCCTGTAGAGGGAAGCAACAAGAAACAGCTCTATGAATCTCATCGTCGTGACAGCTCTAAGGATGTTTGTGCTCCTTGTTCCTTACCATATATTCATGTTAAGCAGTGTCCTCTTTATGGGGCTTCTCGAAAACAATTAGTATTGATTTGTCTAAGCACGAAAAAGAGCTGTACTTTCCTTGAGTCCTTTCATTCCTTTAACAGATATTGAGCATCGTCTATGTGCTAGGCATGATGCTAGGCCTAGCCCAGGACTAAGACAAAGTTCTTGCCCTCAGGCCTTGGGTACTGAACTGTATACTTGACCAGGCTTCCCATTTATGCTGCCAGTTGCAACTTTCTAGGACTCTGAGACATATATTTTCAAGCCCTACTCCGGGCTCTACTTTGTCTCCTTTTGTTCTATTTTTGATATTACCTCATTTTTTCCTTTACTTTGTAAGCTGTCTTAACTTTTTTCTGGAATAAGTAAAGAAAGATATGTAAATTAGACAATATACATATATTTTACCTTATTTTGATTACTACAACTGTATTTTGCTCTTTAAAAATTCTAAAAGCTTGTTAAAAACTTAATAACAATTTTTGCCATTTATAACACATTTTTAAAATTTTATATAAAAATGTAAGTGTTATGCAAAGTTGTTTGTTTTATTACTTTTTCCCTTTTAACCTACTTTTTTTTACAGGTCATCAACACTTAGAGATTTTTCAAGGACACTTAGGGAGGTAGTGAGGAAGGTTCATAGCATTATTTAGGGTTTGTTTCCAGGGTAATTGCTTGAAACCATAGTAGGATCTAAGATTTCTTGCCCAGTAACAAGTTTGTTTTTTTTTTCTTTTTTAAACATTTGATAGTAGAGAAATAGGAAGAGAAATATAGGATCATGGATGCAATATCTAAAAAGATTTGCAGAACTGTAAAAAAAAAGAAAAGCTCAATTCACAGCATTCCATATTCTTAAAGCATGGAAACAGTCCTTGAGAGAACCATTCGGTCTATTTGTCAAGCACATGGTAGATGCACAATAAATAACTGCTAAAAAAAATTAAATCTGTATTAGAGCCCTGCTACTAAAGCAAAGCTATAGCTACCTTATATACAGCATTGCATTCATATGTACACTATGTTAGAAAAGGCAATCTTGTTGGGAATGTCATAAAATGATAAGTGATCAAGAGATGCAATTGATTTTTATCAACAGCAGTGATTATATTTCACATCAAAAATGACAAATTAAAAATAAAATATATCCTTACCTATATAACCTATATGAATCAAATTTTCATCCATTTTATAACACAGAGTTTACATTCTAACAGATACTGTAAGATATATCATAACATCAATTATTCCTTAGAATTTTAAGAAATATGGCTTATGTGTCAGGCTTAAAGGATGAGCCAAAGTCTGGATCAGCTGCCTCTAAACTGATTCAGGGTAAGTTTTTAACATTTGAAATCTGAATAGCATATAAAAGCATAATGACTATGTTATCAATAGTTAATTTATTTCCTGGTAAGTAGTTCTTCAGCCAATGTTCTTCATTTCTGATTAGAGTAGTGTGTCTCAAGCAGGCACAGTAAGACAAATAGGATCGTATATCTTTATCGTTTCATCCCAAGCACAGTCAGCCACCTAGAAAACAAGAAAGTAAGAGGAAACATAATTTACAGAAATTCAAAACTGATAGCAAAAGCCTAAGTCATTTAGAGAGTAGCAGATCATCCACAAGTAAACATATCTTTAAATAGCAAGAACATGCAGTATCTTTTTGATCAAAGGTCTATTTTACCTTTCTAAGACACACTCAGGGATTGTTTCCAATGGACTAAAGTTGCCTATAAGGATTTTCCCCTCCCCCACCCAGAGCTACGTAATTCCCTATACCTCCTGAGATAAATGTTGGAAAGATTTACTCTTCAACTGTGAACAAAGGCACTTTGCTAGGAATTGTGGGAATGGAATGGAGATAAAGCACAGCCCTGGACTTCAAAGAATAGCTCGTTCAAGACTGAAAGTGATAAATGCTCTAATGGAGATTTTCCTAGGAGGAACTATTTGAATCCAACTGTGAAGTCAGAAGACTTCACAAATGCCTGGGCATTCACACTGGCCCTCTTTTGGGGCAGACCTGAGACATAAGGACATTCAAGCCTAAAAGGCCATATTAAAACATGAAGGGAAGACAGTCCATGGTACCCAGGAACTGTGTGTTAAAAACTTGGTGAATCGCCGCAACTGGTTTGGCTCAGTGGATAAAGCGTCGGCTTGCGGACTGAAAGGTCCCAGGTTCGATTCCGGTCAAGGGCATGTACCTTGGTTGCGGGCACATCCCCAGTGGGGAGTGTGCAGGAGGCAGCTGGTCGATGTTTCTCTCTCATCGATGTTTCTAACTCTCTATCTCTCTCCTTTCCTCTCTGTAAAAACTCAATAAAAATATATTAAAAAAAAAAAACTGGTGAATGTAATCATGTCTCAGGGTATAAGATTAATATATAAAATCAATTGTATTTCTATATACTAGCAGAAAAAAAGTTAAAAATAAATTTAAAAATCTATGTAAAATAGCACCAAATAACAAAATACTTAATAACATTTAACAAAAGACATGCAAATTCTCCACACTAAAAACTAAAACATTGCCGAAATTTTAAAAGGCCTAAATAAATGGGGAAATACACACACACACACACACACACACCATATTCATGGGGGAAATATTGTTAAGAACTTAATTCTCCCCCAAAGTAGTTTATAATTCATAATCCTAGCAGCCTTTTTAATAAAAATGAACAAGGTGATTTCTAAAGTTATGTAGAAATGCAGAGGACTTAGAATAGCCTGAAGAATCTTGAAAAATAACAAGAAAGTTGTACTTATGAGAGAAAACAAAGATGGCGGCATAGATAAACACCGGGAAATTGCTGCCTCCCACAACAATTGAAAAATACATCAAAAACACAAAATGGACATCATCCAGAACTACAGGAAGGCTGGCTGAGTGTAAATTCTACAACTAGAAGGAAAGAAAAGCACACTGAGAGCCAGAGGAGCTGCGGAAGTAA